TAAAAAACATGCATTCTCGACTGTCGGGTCGTGATGCGAGCTCGCGCGCGCGCGCCTCAAGAAAGGGTGGGTGGTGTGGGTTTCACCTGCACTTTTGAGTGTAGGAGTTGGCCCTCCCTAAAACTCTTGAGTTTTTTCCCTCCCAAATTTAACGGGGTCTCGAAGATCGGGACTTGAGACTTCTCCCCACTGCTTGAGGAAAATAGATTGCAGACGTGTTTGCTGTGTTGCTGTCTTGTGCTTTTAAGCTGTCTTACACTTGTAAATCATAGAATAAATGAGGTCTGTTGATTAGTACGAAAGTAAGCAGGTCGTTGATCCACGAACCGGTTTCCTAGTGACAAATAATTGTGCAAAACCTGCACACACAGCGCCTCCACTCGTGCAAAAAAAATCCTGCCTGAGGGAGATCCGAGCAGAAGTGTTCATTGGCTGTAAAGCCCTGGTGCACTTGACGCTCCCGGGCAGCATTCGATACTTAGGGTACAGGGCTTTTGGCAACTGTGCCGAGCTTTCTCACCTTGGGTACGCTAGGAACAAATCAGAGGCATGGCGATACCCCTATGCCGTCTTCAATGCCTTTGAGGGATGTGTCAAGCTAGCCACCTCCAAGTGGCTCCACTGCATCCCGCCGAGGGATAGCGACTGGATTGCTCCCTGCAACTGACGTCAACAGCCTACACCACAATCCAAACAACAACCTCTGGGGTGTGAACAGCCAGAGTGAGCAAGGGCGGCTGCCCAAGTAGCTGTCCCTCAGCATTGCCAGGCTCAAATCTCAAGTAGGAGTTTTGCCGTTTGCCGCAACGGTTGGTGATACCTGGTCGCAAACAAGTTCACTTGTCAGCAATGAACGCCAGCTAGTGTTGCCACTTCTGCTGACAACTCTTTCTGGAGAAGAAATCCAGGTTATTATCGACCTCCAAGAGTTTGACCGTCTAGACGAGTTCGACCATTGGAGGACTCAGCACCTTTGGGAGCGAGCTTGCCTTTGTCCATAAAGACACTGGAGAAATGCTGGCGAACCCCATTTGGGACACCCTCAGAGACTGTAACCGCTTCCACCTTGTGGTTCGACAATGTTTCAGCCAAGCTGAACACAAAGGGCAACTGAAGAGGAGTGCTAAAGCAATTCGAGTACCGCCCATGAACGGGGCGTGTTACCCCATGCTTTCACGCATACGATCGATGTGAGGCATGTGCAAGTAGAAGCAGGAATACATACCATTGGCGAAGCGGCCTGGCAGCACTGTAACCGGTTGCTAATTGTTCAACTGCCTAGCACCGTAGTCTGCCTGCAAGATGGAGCCTTCTGCCGAAACTATGTACTTCACACCGTCATTGCCCCAGGGTGCAAATACTTTGGGCTTTGGGTATTCGAAGAATGCTACGCTTTAGCACTGATTGGGGATCAAAGCACTACAGTCAATCAGCTGGCGCCGCAGGCGCGATTTCGCCCGCGAGCATTCGAAAAATGCAGCACCTTGCAGCAACTCAATTTTGAAAGAACGGAATACGATCCCACTGATCTGCACCGTTCCCTACCCGAGGGTTGCTTTTTCGAGGCAGGGCTAGAGTCATTATTTTTGCCAGCAGATTTCAACTGGATGGGTCCAGCAGCATGCGAGCATTGCGCAAGGTTGCGGGTAGTTGACATCTCACAAACTGAAATTAGTGAGATTCTGGGGGGCACCTTCGTGGCTGTACGCAGCTGCGCATGCTCATCAGAGGGGGAAGAAAAATGACCTGGAGAGGTACGTACGCAGAACACGATGCATTTGACTCGTGCGAGCAACTTAAACCAACTCATGGCCAAGAAGAGTGGGCTGACTTCATGCGAAGTTGTGCAGAATCGAACCTCGGAGAAGCCTGACAACTCAAACCTGCGTCCGCGTGCAGGCTCTGAGCAAGCTACACACACCTGCCAACTGACATGCCGACACTGCTGCCTTGACTGAGTAGCTGGATAGTACCCAGGGCTGCCTCCCGAGAGGTGGTCTTGGAAGCGTACAGTGTACAGTTCTTCGAACTAGGTATTGCGGCGTTTCACTGTTTCACGTCGTCCAAGGGGCGTGCATGTTTACACGGATCCAAGTGCACTTGAATTGCAATACGGAGATGCTGAGCCGGTGGGGGCTTGTCAACAGGGTCCTGCCTGTCCATATTCCTCGAGGGCAACGCAAGGTCATGTCGCTTCGTCGCTGTTGCTCCCGTTTGCCTTTTTGGAACTGCTGTCATGGAGCGCGCTCTTGTCACCTCCTCCCCCTTGGGGGGGAGGGCCGAGGAGGGAAGCCGATTGTCTTGGTTCTTCCCGTCCTATGTCCTCTACAGGTCACGACTTTCGTAAGTTTGACAAATGCCTCCGCTGAGCATCACTTTCCCACGGCAAAGCCTTCGTGCAGGGTCCCTCGTGCTCTAGCTAGAGTGCGCTTCACTATCTTTCATTGGGATTTTGTCCACATTGGGTCCCAAACAGCATTGACCATTTCCTGCTTCAGCGGAATACGCACAAAACCATACAATCGAAGCTCGAAGAATGTCAATTGCTACATGCTGATGGAGTCATGTGCCAGACTGATGAGATTGCTCGCCATAAACGGTGTCTGTCAGAGGTAAAGTCGTGCTCTTTGACATAAGTCATGATGCACCTCTGCACAGTGCACTGAATGCAAAGTTCCTCACTCCTGCACATGCTCAAGCACTCTTTGGGCCGACAAGTCGGTACTAAAATTGCCAATTTGGTACTCACTGCCCATAAGAAGGAAGCTCGCTACCTCCTGATCTTCTTGGACTGAGCGCTGACAGAATGAATCCAATGCCCCGTTTCACCTCTCTTTCAAGACAGTTGCTTCGGCTCTGACAGTCCTGACGAGATACGAGCCCGGTCTTTTTCGGTTTGCGTGTTGTGGTGTTTGTGGTGTTTGTTGTCTGGTTTTGTTGTGTTGGGGCGTGTTCCTCTCCCTGGCTCGTATCTTCTCAGCAGCCCTATTTAATTCATTCAAGGTGACTTGTGCCTTTCGGCGCACACAGCGCCTCCACCCGTGCAAAAAAAATGCTAGAGAGGTTGAGCGTTTGCAGCTGCGAGCAGTGTGCGAAGGTAGACCCCAGGATTTCAACAATGTCCGTGCGAGACAGGTCAACAATCTGGAGCCGTTTACAGCGCTCACAGGCAGCGGGCCCCACCCACGTGAAATCTGGCGGAAGGGAGAGCGAAACGATGCCGGCTTCCAAGAAACAACATTCAGGCAAGCTTCGTTTTGGGTTGGTGGGGTCATGCTCTGTCCTTTCCAAGCCGAGGTGACGCAAAGCCGCGCATTTCTCAAAGGCTCTGGGCCGGAGTTGCGCTTGCGGGGCTAACTGGTTTATTGTATGACTAGTTGCCTGATTGTGTGCACTGAGTATGGCAGTCTGACCTCTAAGGCTGACACAATGCACAAAAGTGAACTCCTGGATTTCCTCAATGCTTGAGTTAGAAATATCTACCTGCGTAAGTAATTTGCAGTTATCGCAGGCATGTGCACCCAGCACTTGGAAATCTCGAGTTAACTCCAGTGTAGTGATTCCGGTGGAGCTCAGACATCCTGGCGGCAATTCCCCAGCCTCGTCCTGAGTCTGCAGCTCCTGGCGGCAGCCATCCTCCAGGAGGACAAAAGTGGCCAAGTTGATGCAGTCTCGAAAAAGGTGGCGTCCAAGTTTGGTTGCGCTACCAAATTGATTAACCCCTCCTCCGTTGGCTTGGATAAACTGTAGAGAACAACAGTCCGCCAAGGCTTTGTATCCAAAATCAATGCAGCCTGGTACTGTGATGCTATTGAGCAGCTGGCACCTTCGAAAGGTGTTCTCTGCAATTCGCACAACAGTATTGGGCATTCTGACCACCCGAAGATGGCGGCAGCATTGCCAGGCTTTGGCTCCAATTGCGCGTATGCCTGCTTCAACACTGACATGCCGGAGGGAATGATTCCCGCCTGGTTCATTGGGACTTTGACTGCCTGTGGGATATCTCGATATGGGCCGCTTGGGAGCTTTGGCCTCCAGGTGATAGCCCACTGGGAGGGAGCCCATGGCTCAACCTCCACCAGCGACACACCTGGCGCAGCCGGGGGCGCTCCCCTCAGGCCGAGCCGAACCAAGCAACACCGAAGCCAGCAAGCAAGTGGTAGGACGTGGAGACCGAGGAAACCATTCATTGAACCATTCATTTCTCACCACAAGCAAGCAAGCAACAGCACGCAAGGTTCAGCACCAAGTGGGCCCCCGAAGGTTCCCGGACTCCCGACTTTGCAAATCAGGAGAAGTCCAACCAAAACGGTCAGACTTGTTCCACCTTTTCAATGAACACCGAGAAGGCATGGTTGAGCACTTTGACCTCATCAAGACCGGCGTGGACGACCACTGGACCATGCAGGATGACTTCACCCAGCAAAAGACCTCAACGACTCCATGATGGACTGCAAGATTGGTCTGAACACTGCAATGAACGTCATGAACGACAAGAACAAATTTGTCCCAAAGCAGTTGCTGATGCGAGAAGGCTGTTGAAGCTTCAAACAACACAAGAGTTTTCACCTCAAGGCAGATTAGCATCCAACCCGGCAGAACGAGCAATTCAGACTGTGAGAAGGTTAAGCAACACTTTGCTGGAGAGCATCCGTGTTGGATGTGGAATCGAGATTCCCGCTTCACACCCGCTGTTTGTGTGGTCCTATGCCCATGCATCTTGGTTGTATAACAGGTTCCATGTTACACCTGGTGGCAACACACCATTTGAAGTTGTGACTTCCCGCACCTACTCGGGAAGCTGGCACCTTTCGGAGCATGTGTTTATGGACAACCACTTCCAGTCCGAAGAACACCCGACGAGGAGTTCCAACCTGGCGGAGGGAATCTATATGGGCAAGTTGATGGACTCAGACCTCAACTTTGTGTTGTCGCCAAATAGATTGTTTGTGACAAGAGCAGTCGGACGATGTGCCGACGAATGGCAACCAGAATTCCTCATGGCTTGTCATGGATTGCCATGGGATGATGCAAGCTCACGAAAGTTTGGTCCCACGACCAAAGTCGACAAGAAGAGAAGCCTGGAAAACCGAACCTTTCCTGGACTACAAGATGACGAGGCCAAAGCAGTTGAAGAGTACGCACGACGTCGAGCAGAAGAAGCCTTGGCAAAACCTTTCGGTGAGCTCGAAGGAAGTGATGAGGAGTACCTTGACGACAAGGACTTGAAGGACAAGCAGAAGAAAGAGACTGAACTCAAGAAGCCTGGTGATGGAGAACGAGAACAAGCAGTTCCATACACGCCGGAGAACCTCCCGTACACTCCGACAGAACCTCCAGATGATTGGTCATGAAGGATGCCGAGCCAGACCCGCAACATGCAGGAGGAGTTCGTGATGAACCTCAAGGCGGACTACATCCTCAAGTTCCTCAACAACCTGTTGGACCTCAACATCCTCAAGGAGAACTTCGACCTCATGGTGAACTTCCTGGAGAAGAACCTCCCACGAAGAGTGCACGAACGGGTCAAGAAAGCAAAGGTGGAATTTTCAGTTCCTCCGAGAACATCCCCATCGTCTTCACCAACGGCAAGCAGCTTAGCAGCAGCACCTTCATTCGCAGGTGGCATTCAAGAAGGGCCTTCTAGATGTGGCTTTGGACGACCACGGGTTCGTCGAAGTGGACGAATATCCTTTGGTGGACCTCAAGGACTGGGGCGAGTTCAATGAAGTTGACCTGGAGCAGGAATCTGAAGAAGCTGGACCTCCAGATGTCTCTGAAGAGATGTTGACGCAGTTGGAGCTGGAGGCAGATGAACGGCTTTGAGGGCTACAGGTTCCTGACGACCAAGACAGTCTATGACTGGAGATGGCGCCTGAAAGAAGAGACTGGCAAGTTTGGCTGGATGAGACGGTCAAGACTAGTTGGCAGAGACTGCAAATTTCTCTCTCCAGAGATGGAGAATTTGTTCAGCCCAACAAGCAATGCAATTGGAGTGAAATTGTGGGCAGCCTTGGTTCAGTCGAGCCAAGGAGAACTTGGTCTATGGGCAGTCGATGTAAAGGACGCCTACCTCATGGTTCCCCCGCAGTCTTCTACAAGGTTGGCAGGACACCCTTGGTGATGTCTTCGCACGTTGATGACCTACAGTTGGTTGGAAGCCAACAAGATGTTGAAAAGCTCCTTGATAGCTCCAGAAAGCAGGAATGCTCACCCAAGGTTGCAGGGCAATGCGCATTCCTCAAGAGGCATTTTGCTTCTGATGGATCTGGTTCCATGACTGTGAGGATGGACCAGAAGTATGTGAAGAAGTTGGTAGACTTGTTGGACCTGCACGTGAACAAGGGCAAGCTGACGCCTACAACTGGCACATTCCAGAAAGGACTACAAGGTCAACCTGTTTCAAAAGAGGAGTCGAGCCTCTACAGAACATGTGTTGGCATTTTGCTGTACATGTCAACAGAAAGGCCAGATATCCAATGTGCAGTTCGACAATTGGCTTCGAAGGTCACTGGACCTGACACCCTGGACCAGAAGGAGTTGAAGCAACTGGTGCTCTACCTGACTACCTGAAGCACACGGCTGACTACGTCCAGGAGATGAAGCAGAGCTTTGCAATGGCTTCAGCTATGGGAGAAAGGAATGATGATGTGAAGATGGCTGCAACGCAACATCCGAGCCTACTCGAAGTGTTCACGGACAGTGACTGGGCATCGGACAGGACTACAAGGAGATCTATGTCATGCAGTCACATGTACCTCAACGGCGTCTTCTTTTGGAGTGCAAGCAGGAGCCAGAAAAGTATAGCTTTGTCAAGTTGTGAAGCTGAGTTCATTTCAGCAGTCAGCGGCATGGCAGATGGGAGCTACATCAAGCGAATGTTGGAGGCCGTGTTGAACATGAAGGTGGTCTTGGAGTTGAGGATTGACAGTTCCTCTGCTCCAACGCTACTCCAACGACAAGGAGTTCAGAGAACCTGACACATAAGCACTGGACTTTTGTGGGCGCAGCAGAAAGTGGAAGAACGAGAAGCTGCAATTCGACCGGTGCCGGGAAAAGAGAACAGCGGCGATTTGGGAACAAAGAGTCACAGCAGCAAGAGATTGAGATTCTTGCTAGGCCTCATTGGCTACTTGGAGTACGCTGGTGGACCACGAGTTGGAGCCCAAGAAGAAGAAATTCGACATGTCAAAGGACTCAGACCTGAAAGAGTGCAACAGCTGACATGTTTGCTTTTGGCGGCTTTGAGTCAGCAGGGCAACGGAATGGAAGTCGAAGAGACGACCAGTAGTGATAGCGACCGTGAAATTTTCCTGATGGTTTTCACGGCAAATGGATTTTTGTTTGTAGCCATGGGATTGGCTATGAGTGTGCAAGGTTGCGACTTAGCGCTGATGGTGCTTCATTCGGCTTCGATTGGAGCATGGTCTCTCCTCACCGAGATGGGCTACCAGATCTTTCAGACTGGCATGATGATGGTGGCAGTCAATGTGGTGGTCTTCATCCTGTTCTACCTCAGGGACTACTTCAACCTACGACCTGTTCAAGGTGGAGGAGAATTTGAACGAGAAACCTCACCTCCTCAACATCCGCATTGAGAAGGAGAACAACGAAAGGTCAAGCAGACAAGGTTCAACCTCTTTGGAGAACCAGCCGGACATGATCCGGAAGCTCGCGGAAGTGATCGCGATGGAGAACTATGGGATGAACCTGAAGGTGGAGATGTCAACCACCTACTACTTGAAGGAGAAGAAGAAGGTGAAGAACAAGAGCAAGAAGAAGGACCACAATTCGAGAACCTCACGGAGACAGCCTACACTTCTGGCGGAGAACCGACGGAAGATGAGTTCACAGAGGACGCCATGGATGTGGATGATGATGACGTCATCGCGACAGTTGAAGATTGGGACCCCATTGGTCAAGAGATGGCGACCTACAGAGTTCTTCAAGATCGAGCACAAGCTTTACCTGGCGAAGAGTACTTCTTGGACGTGGATGGACGTCTTGAACGCCATGGTGGACTTGGAAGCTTGAGTGAAGAGAGTTCAGAAGAAGAAGAATCTGCAGCAGACCAACCTGCTGAAGAACCTGAAGGCAGTGGATCTGAACAAGTTCTACGTGTTGAAGGAGAACCTGGTGAAGAAGTGACGGACGCAGTTCGAGAACTTCGACGACATGCAGGCTTGCTGGAAGAGCTGGGTGAACACCCAGAGTGCTACATGGAGTGTAACATGCCTGGCATTGTGTTCTGGATGAACCCAGACACAGGTGAGATCCAGATGCACCGACTCCTCGACCTCACGATCGACACGCCTCAAGATGGCGAGGAGTACTTCATCGAGAACCCCAACTGGATGAGAGATGGTGGAAAATGGTTGCTCAGGAGGCTTCACTATGAGCCTGAGCCAGAAGAAGAGATCCCTGAATCCCCAAGAGGCTGTGGCTGGGCCCTTGGAACAAGAGAGTGAGTGGATGGACCACGCGAGAGAAAGGAGCAGCAAGTCGAGCAGGCAGAGGCAGCTGGACCGCGAAGAAGGCGCTGAGCAATCTGTGCATGTGAGCAATCACTGCTGTGGATCATGAACCTGGCAGAGAAAGCAATCAATGCCAGTGAACACCCACCTGGCAGAGAGCTGAGTGTTAGAGTTGGTAGAGGTTAGCGCACCTCAACCAAAGGAGGAGTGTAACACGTTTCAGTCAAGAGATGCGTCACTAGTACCTCCATGTGAAAGCACATGTTGAGATGAGCACAAACCTGGTCTATACAGGCCGCAACCACGACAGCTCGAGAGTGAGTGAAAGGGAAGAGCTGTGTTAGATTTTTTGAATACATCAGCGCCACGAAAAATCCGTCGGGCTGTTTCAGACCCGTACCTTGTTTTCATTGACGCAGGCTATGAACCAGGTTCTGATTCATGGCCTTGTGGGATTGGAGGAATCCTGTTTTACCCAACTGGGACACCCCTGCAAGCATTCTCCTTTTGTCTCAACAGTCAAATGATGAAAACCCTGGGATCTGATCGTAAACAAACCATCATTTTTGAAGTTGAGCTTCTGCTGCCAAGGTTTGGTCAAATATCCTAGTTGACTCACCAGTTACTTTCTTTGTGGACAACAACTCTGCGCGCGACGTCGCAATCTCGGATTGTGGTCGATCTGTGGTAGTAAGCAGGCTCATTGAGCACCTCCTGATCACCGAAGTTGCGTCCGCCACTTTCCTTGGTTCGCCAGAGTGCCATCGCCTTCTAATCCTTCAGATGCTCCTTCAAGAGGAAACTGCGCTGAACTTTTGGGAACTGGCGTCCCTTTCGTTCCTGTTGAGAGCGTGGTCCAAGATATCCTCTCTTCTCTGGGTAATAAGTAATCGGGTGAATGGGGGTGAGCGTAAATCCCTTTTGCTTGGAGATGATGCGTGAGGTTCGAGCATTTCAAAAAAAACATGAAAATCCTCCTCAACAGCTACTTTGCCACGGCTGGGTGCCTGGCCTTTCGAAGGTAGGTGCACAGGTTGATGAGGTTGATTCAAATGTGATTCCCAATTCCCATTGTCACCGCGAGAAAGAAAAAGAGTGCGTTCTTCTCGCTTCAGTGGAGTTTTCTTGTGGTCGAGTTTGCGCTAAAAATTGCAGGCGTTTAGGGGCAAGAAATAAGTAAACGGTCATGGAACGATGATAGTGCTTTATTTCCTGTGACTGAACTCTTGAATTTTTGTGCGTCCAAAAATTCCCTGCAGTTTTTCGATTCGTGCATATCCATGTCAGTTTTGAGCTGAAACTTGTGAGCGTGGCCTTTGGCTTCAGGGTGGGTGCAGTGGGACGACTTCATGTTTTTTGGAGTTCGTCTCCCGCCCTAACCCTCCCACGAACTCGGGGGTGAGCGTAAATCCCTTTTGTTTGGATGATGTGTTCAAAAGAAGCATGAAAATCCTCCTCAACAGCTACTTTGCCACGGCTGGATGCCTGGCCTTTCGAAGGTAGGGGTGAGCGTAAATCCCTTTTGCTTGGAGATGATGCGTGAGGTTCGCGTAAATCCCGTTTGCTTGGAGATGATGCGTGAGGTTCGAGCATTTCAAAAGAAGCATGAAAATCCTCTTCATCAGCTACTTTGCCACGGCTGGATGCCTGGCCCTTCGAAGGTAGGTGCACAGGTTGATGAGGTTGATTCAAATGTGATTCCCAATTCCCATTGTCACCGCGAGAAAGAAAAAGAGTGCGTTCTTCTCGCTTCAGTGGAGTTTTCTTGTGGTCGAATTTGCGCTAAAAACTGCAGGCGTTTAGGGGTAGGAAATAAGTGGCACTACCTCACTGCCCACGACTTAGGCTACCGGATTCTTGGAGATCGGAAAAGGTGCGTTCGAGAACGCACCAGACGGCATTTGTTTGAAGGGGAATTTTCCCTGCACCTCGTTTGTTTTTGCTTCGCCTGGCTACCAGTTCTCTCACTGAGAATCAACCATGATTTGTATGAATTGAATATCTGGAAAACTTGCACGTGGAGCCTGTGAAAAACAAAAAGGGATGAAACAACTTATGCTGAAAAACATGTTTGCTTGACTCACACAACATGTCCGACATGCAAAAACTGCGAATGAACGGCACGCAGCACTTTGGTGCTCAAGAGGTTGGAGCGATCACAAAAAGCATCTCTTGTGTTGGAATTTTACAAGCAACGTGGCGTTTCCCTACAGATTAATCAAAAAGGTGGAAGGCGCAGATTTAACGACAAACACTGCTCCAATCCGAAGTGGGAGCGTTGGGTGTGTTTCACTTTTGGCAGCCAATGTTCTGCTTTTTGTTTTTGCAGCTGGCCGTCGGTGCTTTGGGCACTGCCGCTGGCACAGTTGGAAGCAGCAATGCCAGCCAGTATTGCTTACAAGGTGCCGTGCCAGAGGACAATCTTGCTTTCGTGGTTGCATCTCTGTTGTGCTGCCCCATGTGTAGAAACATGGTTTTATTGACATTTTGACTTGACAGGATCAAAGGAGGTATATTCAAGATGACCAAGGGCGCAACATTCCTGTTGGCATGTTGAAGGGTGGTTGGCCATCAGGTGATTTGATGACCGAGATAACAATGGTTTTGCTCCGCGAAGGCCTTGGACACTAGGCACTGTTTTCAATCAAATTGTTATTTTCTGGTACCAATGAATTGGCTAACAAATGTCAACAACAATTTGAGGGATGACCTGTACAACATTTCTCGAAGGGGCCGCAAACCACCACCCGCAGACACACGTCTACCGTCTTGCAAACAAATCCACTATAAACCAAGGATACCACGCAGTGGTGGACGACAGACTTGCCACCTATGGCGCCTCCCCAATCTGGGCCTTAGCTGGCTGTGAGAACTTTGACGATGCCAGCAAGAGAATTTGTGGAGAAACAGAAACCAAAATTCATGTGGCGGTAGACTCTTGGATTGGAAGCTATGCTAAAGAATATGAGGAAATGAGGACAGCACACCAATCGATTCTTCCGGTGATTTTGAGCAGCATGGGCTATGATGGCGAGGAAACTTTGTATGTTTCGGAAGCCACCTTTGCAGCTGGCTACGAAGATGTGGGCCTGGCGCTTGACTTTCATCGAAGCTACAACAGGAGCCATCATGATCCAAAAAAGTATTTCAGTTCCACGGACGACATTCCACTCACAGAGCTGAGTCTGTGTAACGCAACTCATATGAGCAATACTGAGCGCATTAGTCAGTATTTTCGATACACGGGTGATGCAGGGGGCGTTCGGCAGCAAGCAGATGGCAGCTATTTTGCTCACTGCCCGGATGGTGTGTGGTGGCTATCCCCAGCTTGTCGGGAAAACATCTCTGGGTGCATACCGACGCTCACCTCATCGGTAGGCTGGAGGTTGCAAGCTATGATGCATTGGTCAACAGTTTATGGCATGCCAACGGCAATAGGAATCATAGGTGATTTCAGCCTCTGGGTGCAGCGTGTCAAGAGGATCTCGGCTTTGTTTTACTGGTGGGTTCCTGATTCGACATTTAGCGATCTCCGGCCCCTGCAAATTGTCTTCCCGCGCCACAGTCCAAGCGAGTGGGCCGCGGGGGACAAAAAGACCAGTGGAGCTGGATCGTTTGTTGCCAAGATGGTTTCATCCAACTTGGCTTTCAAGGCTCGCCCAGTGCAGGAGTTTGTGTCGCAGATTAAGATGGAACTTCCAACGCTTCAGGCCTTGCTTCTGAGGACTCAGTCAGAGCCGGTAGATGCCATTGCATGCCAATGGGTGAAAGAGAACGAACAAACTTGGCAGAGATGGCTTCCGTTTCAGACGAAGTGTTTCGAAGGCTTTGGAATTGTTGACACCACAGGTGCCTACGTATCAACCCGCAGCAAAGCTGCCTCTTGCGGAATATGCCAATCCGGCACCTTCTCGGATGAATTGGAGGATGAACATGGAAAGACATACCGGTGCGCTTCCTGCCCACCAGGATCCAGCCAATCTAAAGCCTCCTCTACTGCTTGTGAAGCATGCCCAAAAGGCACAGCCACTCATGAATGGGGCAGTGAAGAATGCACACCTTGTGATGTGGGAAGTTTTCAGAACCTTCCTGGACAAAGCTTGTGCAGGCCATGTGAGCAGCACCGAACAACCCGCTTGCTGGGGGCAACAAAGCAAGCAGATTGCGTTTGTGAAGCAGAACGAATTGAGGACCAGGATGCCAAGAAATATAATCGACACCCTAGGGAAGCAAATTATCCACTCATAGAATCTATGTACATATAATACACACAATCAATAGGTATATCCACATATGCATGTATATATACATATATATATATATAAGTCAGACACCTGTCACTGCAACCCCTTGAGGAAAACGGAGCTTGTATTGTGTGCATGAGAGGCATGTCGTGCCCAATTGGGGCCACTACCAAGCAGCTGCTGGTTGTGAACAGCACTTTTGTGGGTCATCCTCATCTTCAAGCCGGGTACAACAGTGATCCTTCTGCACCGCTCTCAACATACAAATGCGTAGGCTCCAGATGCCCTGGTGGTTCACCTGGAACTTGCACAGGGGGTCTTGTAGGGCCTACATGTGGAGCTTGCCCTTCGCAACAGTTTGTCGGCATCAATGAGTGCAGAGATTGTCATTTATTGATATCAGTCATGTGGGTCGCCAGCTTCATCCTCCTTCTGGCAGCGAACGTGTGCTCATACCTCCTTGCAACAAGCAAGTACACCCACAAGGCCACTTCACTTCTTTGCATCACCACCAGCTTGGGCATGCTGTTTGTCTTGTTCCAGAATGTAGGTGTGCTGCTTGACAGATAATTCTCAGGTGATTCCTTCTGTTTCTAAAGATTGTCGTCTCTACATGGCTTTGTGCTTAGTGGCCTTGTATCCTTCGTTCGTGAATAGTATTTCTGAGGTTGCACACAATGCCTATCTCGTGGCCCAATGGCTTGAGTGCCATACTGCGCTTTGCAGCTCTCTTCTTGCTCAGCTTGCAGGGCCTCGGTCTAAGTTGCGTCACTGGCAGCATTGCTTCGGAATATGTAGCTTCCACCGGCGTATTTTGGTTGCTGCTGGTCACCTTGCCAGCCACTTGACAGTATATCATGCTGCACCCCTCCGCTCAAACCTGAACCCAAAGGCAGTTTTTGCTCAGGTTCAGGTTCAGTTTGCTTTGAGTCCTCAGAGGGGCTCGAGTGCTTTCACAGTGCATGGTAATCTGTTCCGGCTCTTCAGCCCAGAAGAGTGGCTAGTGAATGGCTAGTTCAACTCCAGCCTCAAGATCTGATAGTCAACTCTGCTAAGGTGGTCTGCCTTATCACCAAGATGATTCCTTACCTTGTTCGCCGTGAGATGGCTTCTCGTCCTGACAATGTTAGCCGATGTGTCCTGTGCATGATTTTGGCCATTTTGTGTTTTCAATCCTGGCGTGTCACCAGCTTGAAGGATGCAATGTCCCAGACCACCACCTGGTAGTAAGATACAGGGACGCAGAAGGGCTCGGGTTCTTCCTTGAAGGACCCTTTGCGTGGGGAAACTGAACGGCGGAATGTACGCATGTGCATATGTACCACACATAGGTGGATATATACCTCCGAACTTAATGTCTTTGCAAGCAGTCGGTCCCCACATACATGCCATACATCATTTTAGCCAAGAACTTTCTACGAAGCGTTCGATTGAAGTGCAATGGTTTGGCTCTTCTGAACAGTAATTACTCATCGGCCTTGCTCTCTCTATTTGTGCTTCGATCAGACATGTTTCATGGCCTTCCCTGCAATCTGGGGGTGCTGGACTTGTTTGGGTGAAGATTGGTCTCCTCCCGATTCTTGGCAGCCCTTTCGGTTCTCAGGATTGGAACTTGCTGAAGGTCTGGAGCACGATTGGACAGTTTTTCCAGGTTGGCTTCACCACAATGGCCAGTTTGGGTGCTGCCCCTTTCGCCTGCTTCAAGCATCCAAGTGGGCAGGACGCTGTCACATTTGCTTGGAGTGTTTGTTCCCAGGTGTGTCAAACTGTCATTTAGCAAACAAACCTGTTGGTTCAAACGGTTGGCCTTGACATAACTCCAATGTCTTTGTTTGTATAGTTTGTGAAGTAGCCCAGACATGTGGAAATGATTAGAACTAGAATTTAGAAGGTGTTTGGAAGCGCCAAATTGCTGCGGAGTACGCAAAAGTAGCTCTGGCCCCCAAAGCACAGGGTGGGAAACAACGTGGACTTATGGTGGTGATCAAGCCGCCACGCACCTTTTTGCCAGCTTTCCTTAAGCCAAGCTAATGGCCGCGGTCAAGTCAAGTCTCATGACATGCATCCACCGTGTGCCACCGTCATTGATCCAACATCCGCGTCGCGCCTTGCAGACAGCCCTTGGAGGGGTCAAATGCTCAGACTGACTGACCAGAACACACTGGGTCGGTTGGCGGACTATTGGTTTGCGAACATAAGCCAAGATGCGTCACACCCTGTGATCTATCAGAATTATATATATATATATATACATCCGTTCATGTCCTGCAGTGTTCTTGTTGCGCAGCGCATTGCCTGCATTGCTCAAACCAAAGTCAACTTTGATCCTACTCCTCGGCATCCTATTCCTGTGTGAAGGTCTTTAGGGGAGCAACAATACCGAAAAAAGTGCTGAATCGATTAGCTGAGGCTGCTCCTACTGCTGCCCAAGTGGTGGTGGCACTTCAAGCAGCCGCGAGCTGAGCCACTTTCTTCTTCTCAACATCAACCTTGCAACACTATGCAACACTCACATCCCTAGAAGTAAGTGTTGACTTGACGCCGGTGAATTTGGCCTTCACTCCGGCTGAACTCCTCCCACAGCACGTTGTGGAGGCTCTTCGTCAGCCCATCGGCGTGCTGCCGATGTGTCGGGACCCACTTGAGGTATGCAGGGCCCGGTGTTGCATTTGCAGATGCTGCTGGTACGCCGCCACTTGCTCTTTCATGGCCGTTGTCAGCGCTGTGGTCATCATCTCCTGGAGGTCTCTCTTGCGCTCGCAGCTAGTGCTTCGACTGCCCCAGCAACGCCGGCTTGAGCTGCGGCTTTTGCAACCTTTCTTTCTTACCTTTGCCTTTGACAGGCTCGCGACCCCGCGATCCTTCCTCCTGTGGCGGCTGACCCTTCCAGCCTTGGGCCTTGTTGCCACGAACTTTGCCACCTTGGCTTCGACCTCGCCCTCTGCCAGCAGGCACCGAGGTCACCGGGAGCGCTGCTCCCTTGCCGATCGCCGTCGGCTGCCCGATCTCGGGTCTCGCCAGACTCTTCGTCCCCCCGGTCAGGGACGGGGGACTCGCCAGCGCCAGGCAACGCAGCGCAAAAGTAGCTCTGGCTCCCAAAGCACAGGGTGGGAAACAACGTGGACTTATGGTGGTGATCAAGCCGCCACGCACCTTTTTGCCAGCTTTGCTTGGGCCAAGCTAATGGCCGCGGTCAAGTCAAGTCTCATGACATGCATCCACCGTGTGCCACCGTCACGCAACACTCACAATTGCAAGGTTCGTTCTACCCGTGTCGCCAGGAGAGCATTTTGAACTATCCGGGCATTTTTTGTGGTTCAAACGAACAAAGAATCATGCAGATCTTTGGTGGCCTGCTCTTGTTCTTAGCGACGTCTTTCTTCGTGCTTTGTTGCTTCGCTGCCGTGAAGGCACCCAGCTGGTCCGGCACCCCGAAGCTTGGAGACAGAAAGCTACTAGCGATGGCCTCCAACGTAACAGCGAAGGGAACCTATAGCAATGACCTCCAACCTAAGAGCGATGGCCTCCACCCTACTTGTGATGGCCTCCAACCTACAAAGACTCCAATTGGTGCAAATGTCTGGTAACTTCATTGCATTTTGATTTGCCTTCTGAGGAAGCTCAATGCCGCCCGCTTCTTGGTGGTGCGATTTCGTCCTGATGTCTGGTGGTTTGGATTGATCTTGCTTGCGAGAGGGCCGTTCTTGTCTCTACCCGCCATCGTGCTTACAGGTTTGCCAGGCTTTCACCTTGCGACTCTCTTGAAATATGTGTGCACTTATGTCCAAATATTGTTCTATTTTTTGTTTTAGAGTTTATTTTCTTTTTAGGAGTTGTAGGCCACTAGGAGGTAGCTACTAGGCTAGGTAGGTAGTAGCTAGAGGTGGCCAATAGTAGGTAGATAGGTAGGCAGGCAGGCAGGTAGGTAGGTAGGCAGGCAGGTAGGTAGGTAGGTATTACTAGCATGGACACAGGGTAGCTCACTTCAAGGAAGCTCCCCCTGCCACCCGGAAGGCGGCGGGCGAAGCTTCCTTGAAGAAGCGCTCGCGCTTATGATTTGGTTCCTAGATTTTTAGGGAAACTTTGTCAGCAGCTCTTCATGGTTCTGACTGTTGCTTTGGGACCTGGAGACTCTAGTTCTTTGATTTTTAGTGACATCAGTTCAGATCTTTGATCACGTTGCAATGAATCAAGGCCACAATGGTGATGGTGTTGCTTCTTTGTCTTTGCCTGCAGACGCTTGCTTGCTTGATGTTGCTATGTAGTGGTCAGAGTTGGGTTCGATTCCACATGACTCTGACCTGTGGACTCAGAGTCCACACGTAGTAGCGTCCGATCGCTCCTAGTAGCAATCAAAGACATACTAGTAGCTTTATTGTTACAAGTAGCTTCAAAGACCGTTCCTAGTAGCGTCCTTGCCCCTAGTAGCATCCCCGCCCACAATCCGAGGATTTGGTTCTTGCCATGGAAAGCGCCGATTCTCAACCTGGTGGACGCGTTGTCGAATGGCTTCTTCGTATTGCTTTTGGCGGTCTCCTTAGCATTCCTTGAGGTGGCGTCTGAGGAGGAAAGGCACCTCTTGGAAGGAACTGCAGTCGTATTCTCCGTTGCTATGGCATCTTGGACTTCAAGTGCGAAGATGCTTTGTTGCGGGATCTCGTTGTTGAGGGCTGCCTTGTAGCAGAGCGACTTTCGACTGGATTCGGGGGGGTATATAGCTTCAGGTCGCCACACACCAGGCAAACCACCTGTCCCCCAAGTAGAAGTATCCTCTTCTTGTGTATTGGCGTTGTCAAAAGATCAAGATGACAAACTGCCTGCGGGACACTCACACGTTCCAGAACTTCATTGTAAAGAGTGCGCAACCAGCACACACTCACTCGCCACACGGCAACCTGGGTAACCATTTTCCTAAGAAGTCACGCAAGGGGGTTCACGCCGAGAATCGAGAACCGAAAGGATGACGACGTCAAGCGCTCACATCTGCCGACCGGAGGATAACCTAAACAGCCTGATCAACTAGAGGAGAAAGTGGTTACTCAACATCACAACCAGATCAAAGTGCAGGTATAATATATAGTTGGCGTCCCAACTCTCTTCCAACTGATTTCCGTAGCTTCGTTGGCGCGGATAGGAAATCAGCCGTGCCCCCTGCTATAAAAGGAATGAAAATGCAAACTCAAAGGAATCCCTGTGGCCTGTGACTCCAAGCGGTTCTCACGCACGCCTCTCGTTCAGGGAGGTCTATTTTCCAAGTGACAAACTATAGTGTGCATGTGTGCGCGCAGTATGGACAAAAAGATGAAGACATGAAAAGAGGGACGAGACGGGACTGAGGTGTGCGTGAGTGTGTGTGGTTGCGATGAAGGGGAAACCAAGTGCACAGGGACAAACAGTGAACAGTACCTCATTGTCAAGACCTGGGCGACCTGAAACCTGGGTTAAAAGTAGGCGCGCGCGTACACGCTAAGGGCCGGACTGATGTGCGCAGTGAGATGACGGGACATGAAGCCGGGGAAGACATGAAACAAAAGAAGGAAAGAAAGTGTGTGTGAAGGGGAAAGGATGAAAAGGGAACCAAATGGAGGGGCCAGAAACTGACGAAGCCAGACCTCATTAAAGCGACCTAGGCAGATTTGGGGTATATGCGCTGTGTGTACTTCAAGGTTACAGAAGCATTGGTCGCTGGGACCACATTATGGCGCGCTCGAGGGCTGCCTAATCGAGACCGCTGTGATCACTTCATGGCTTGCTCGAAACTTGCCTACTCAGATTCAATAATCCGTAAAGTCTTGGCAAATAACTTTGGATTAAACCTCCTGCTGTCCGCTCCGGACACGTAGGTTCCCAAACTGGGAAACAGGGACAAACCCCCCATTCGACAGGGCGCGGATAGGAAACCAGTCTCCGTGCCCCCCTGCTATAAAAGGAAAGAAAAGTGCAAATTCAAAGGAATCCCTGTGAATTGAAGGGGGTCGCACACACTCAAGATATTGCATACTGACTCGATGGCGGTTGGCCACACGCCAGCCTAAGTAAATATAGACCTATGAGTCCAGGGTAAACAAAGTAGGTTGGAGGCCATCGCTCTTAGGAGAGAGGGCATCGAAAGCAGGTTGGGGGCCATTGCTAGCAGGTTGGTGACATGTAACTGCAAAACTGACAAGGTTGGAGGTCATCGCTTTAGGTTAGAGTCTAGAGGCCATCGAAAGCAGGTTGAGGGGCCATCGCGAGTAGGTTGGTGACATGAAACAGCAAGACAGCCAAAGTTAGAGGTCAACGCTCCTAGGTTAGAGGCCATCGAAAGCAGGTTGAGGGGCCATCGCTAGTAGGTTGGTGACATGAAACAGCAAGACAGCCAAGGTTAGGGGCCAGCCATCCAATCAGGTTGAAGGCCCTCGCTACAGGTTTGGAGGCCTACCTGAAAACCTAAACACCTGTGGAACAACATCAGGTACATGAACCACCATAAAACAAAGCAAGGGGCCACCAACCAATCAACAGTTGGACTACAGCAGGTACGCTTACAGATGACCATGAAAGAGACGAGACGGAGGAAAGAGTGTATGTTGTTGCTGGTAAAGGGAAGCCAAGCGAAGAGGGACAACCAATGAACCACACCTCATTGTAACAAACCCGGCGCGCCTGAACCTAGTTTGATGTAGAACACGCGTGCGTGTATGTGCGCAAGCTAAGGTCCGGGCGAAAGTGCGCGCAAGAGAAGAAAAGGACGAGGATGACGAAACATGAAGACAGAAGGACGTGAAAGAAAAGAAGGACAAGAAGTCTGTGGGGGCCAATGAAGAGGGAACCAAATGAAAGGGGACAAAGCGATGAAAAGCCGAACTTCATTAACACACCTGTTGCAAACGCCTAGATTGTTTGTAAGGCGCGCTGCGCACGAGGAAGGAGGGGAAGGGAAAGAAGAAAAGGAAGAGGAAAAGCAAAGGAAAAGAAACGAAGGTGTTCCCAGGACACACCAAGACAAGAAGAGAGGGGCTCCCAGTTATGACGGAAGCATCCAGGGGCACCCAAACAAGAAAAAAGGGGATGCAAAAGGAAAGAAAAGAAAGAGAGAGAGAGAGAGAGAGAGAGAGAAAGAGAGAGAAAGAGAGAGAAAGAGAAAGAGACAGCGAGAGGAGAGAGAGAGAGAGAGAGAAAGAGCAAGAGAAAGAGCAAGAGAAAGAGAGAAAGAAAAAGAGAAAGAGCCAGAGACGGAGAGAGAGAGAGAGAGAGAGCGAGAGACAGAGAGAAAGAGAGAAAAAGAGAAAGAGAGAAAGAGAGAAAGAGAGAAAGAGAGAAAGAGAGAAA